CCAGGCGGCAGCAGGAGACCCCAAAGCCTCCGCACCCCAGCCCCAGAAAGGCCACGCAGCAGAGCTGTGGGGACAGGCACGAGCCACCCAGCCACCCCCCAGCCACGAGAAATCGCCGCGGGCTGGCAGGGCTTCCTCCGGCTCACGGGTTCCTGCTGCCCCCGGACTCTTCTTGTGCTCGCAGCAGGACCCCCGTAACGTTGTCTCTAACCAGCTCAGTGGTGTCCCCACCCAAAGTGACTTTTGCATAGTGCTGCTCTCCGCAGCCCCAGGCATCGTGCCGTGCCCACCACGGCCAGGCCCACTCTGTCCCCCAGCCAGCTGGGGCAGAGGGGCACAGCCCCAGCGACAGCAGCCTGGGGCCCAGGGACTGCTGCAGCCACGTCTCTATAAAAAAACCCTGTCGCCGTCCTCATCAACAGGACAAAACAGGCAGCAAGAGGCAGCACCTGAGACCAGAGCCTATCCCAGGGGACAGGGCTGGAAGGGAGCACGAGCCCCTCTGTCCCCAGCCGTGCCCCAGGTCTCGGTGCAGGCGGTACCTCACTCTTGTTCTTCCAGCAGTTGGCAGAAAATGGAAAGAGACTGAGGATTCGGGGCTGTCCCTCCTCCTGCACCACAGCTCTTCTTCAAGCCCCAGCTTCCTTGGTCCACGGGCTCCCTCCAGCCCGGGAGACCGCCCTCCAGCGTCTGCCCCAGCCGGGGGCTGGCAAAGCCGCCACCCAGGCAGCAGCCGCTCACACTCCTGCCCCGAGTCTCTCTCCGGGCGTCTGGATGGAAAGTAGCACTTGTGACACACACAGCAACGGGAACAGCAGCAGTCATGTCAGCGTGAAGCGAACATGGCATTGCTTACAAGGTGCAGCAGCAAGGTGTGCTGGGGACCACCCCGCACAGAGCCTAGATGATATCTGTCTCCCTCTCTATGCCGACATACTTCAGGGCGTCTGCCTGGCTGTACCTGCAAGACAGAAAGTCACGGCTGCTGTAACGACCTCCTGTGCTCCCCACAAACGTGTGCACGGAAAGTGGGGTCAACCCTGCACCCCGGCCCCCAGCCCCCAGCTCCCCAAGGTACCTGTAATCAAAGAAGAGCTCCTCTCCCGCCTGGATGGCCCTCTTGGCAAAGATCCCTATCCGGTGGTCGCCGTTCACCATCACAACTGCAACCAGAGAGACAACGTCAGAGACGGCAGCTCCAGCCCAGCCCAGGAGGTCTCGCAGCACTTCTGCCCCGCCTGGCCCCCTGGGACCCTGTGCCCTGAGCTCCTGCCTAGCAGGAACGGGGTCCCCGGGCAGCTGCCAGCCGCTCTCTAGCAGCGATCTCTCCTTGCGAGGTCAGGGCCACCGCCGAGCTGAGCGGGGCCCTCACCAGCAGGAACAGGATTTGCTGCAGAGACTTTGTCCAGGCCTTTGAGGTTCTGCTGCTCCCAGAGGCTCAGGGTGACCCTGGAAAATCCGCTGCAATCCCGGAGCCAGGCAGGACCCCAGAGAGCCATCCCCCACCGAGGTCTGACCGGGCAGGATGTCTCACCTTTGGCATAGCAATTGGGGTTCACCGAGTGATTGGCAAAGCGGATTTTATTTCCTTTGCGGGTGGCGTCAACAACAAAATCTATTAAAAAAAAGAAAGAAAACTAGTGTAAAGACAGACCTGCCGCTCAGGCAACAGAGACAGCCCCCTGCCAGGAAGCCCACGTGTCCTCCACCCCTCGGAGCCCCAGGCAAGTTACCGTTGTTGAGGTTGAAGAGGAAGCTGGACATGTACTTGTCATAGACCTTCCCTCGGCGGTCAGCCTCATCCTGCGAGATAAGCTGGAGAAGGAGAAGGCCTTGAGACTCAGTGCCCGAGGGCAGAGCGCGGACCGAGGATCGCTGTGCAGAGCAGCCCTCGCCTCCCACCTGCAAACACCCCCCTGCCCTCCCATCCCAGGGGCCGGAGCTCGCCAGGGAGGGCGCAGGGACAAAAGCCGGGCTGCCAGGGAGCAGCACATACCAGACACGCTCCTCCACAGCGGGGAGCCTAGAGGTATGGAGACGGGGCCCAGACCAGCACAAGTTCAATTGCTAAACCTGGCCAGAGCGAGCCCGC